CCTTTAGCCTTTACCTAGTGTCTTCTACCTTTAGCCTTTACCTGGTGCCTTCTACCTTTAGACTTTACCTGGTGCCTTCTACCTTTAGCTTTCACCTAGTGTCTTCTACCTTTAGACAATTTCTACAATTTGACTCATTTTAGCTTTAAGCTACCATTTAGCTTTAAGCTAATATTTGAGTTTTTGCTTTAAGCTTTATCATTTAGCTGCGGTTCTGCTACTTTTAGCTTTTAACTAGCAAGGATGTACTTTTAGTTACTGTTTACATTTAGCTTTTAAGAACTGTTTTGCTTTTGTTAGCTTTAGATAAAGTTAAGCTACTTTCAATTTTTAGATTCTGTTTAGCTAATTTTAGCTTTTAGCTCTTATTTTTTCACCTTTAGCTTTTAACTGTCCCTTTACTACTTTAGCAAATGTTTAATCTTTTAGCTTTTGACAACAATTTGACTTATTTGAGCTTTAAGCTACCATTTAGCTTGATTAAACTACCATTTCATAGTTTGTAATTTAAGCTACAATTTAGCAAGCTTTAACATTTAGCTGCTGTTCTGCTACTTTTGCTAATTAAAAGCTAATGTTTTACTTTGGGCTACAGTTTTGCTGCTTATTGCTCAGCTTCATTCATCTTTTGACTTCCATTTAGCTATTTTTAGCTTGTAGTTACTGCCCTTTAAGCTTTTAGCTCAGGCTCAGAGTGGCTGGTTCTGACAGGTGTAGAGGAAGGCGGGCTCCACCTGCCAGGTGGGGTGTTTAGTGGTTTGCTTGTATTTGAGCTGCGTTGAAACAAATTAGTTACATTATCTCCCTCTCATTCTCAGCAGGTTCCCCCACAAATTTTACCTGAACTTCTGTAAAACTGACTGACTTATCTCCACGTTTGTGTTGATGAATGTCGACCGTCTGTGGCGGCCATATTGAATTGAATCGACTCCAGAACTTTATCCGTTATAAAAGTATATTCAAAGATTATGTCCTTAAAGTTTCATAAAAGTCCGTTCACCGGTTCGTGAGATATTTTGCTAACAGACGTGTGTTTTTGTTAGCAGCCGTTCAGTCGCTCGGCTCCGCAGCGCCCCCCGCGGCCTTCATTGGTACTGCAGCCAGAGCGCGCCCGGGTGAGCGACCGCCGCCGCTGAAGAGACGAACACCGCTGCACGCGCTCAGGTAAGCAAACCCGGACACCTTTCTCCCACCGAACCGGTCCGACCCGGGAGGAGTAACGCAGAAAACACCGGAGAGAAAGATCCGGGACCCGCAGCAGCCGCCGCGTCTTTCCTCCCGTCTCCATCGGCATCTTGTCATGTTTTCCTGCGGTTCGGGGAGAGGTTCCGGTAGAGGTTCCGGTAGAGGTTCGGGTAGAGGTTCGGGCCTCTTTATTCTAAAAATAAATAAACAAATAAAAACATGGAGCTCGCGAGCGGAGGACGTTTCCGTCTGAACGGCGCGTGTTTACTCGCCTCCATCGAAGGAGCGAGGCGCGCGCTCTAATGGAGGATGGAGCCCCGGAGGACGTCTCCTCCTGCAGGAAGATTCAATCAGAACCGTCCGAGCAGGTCCTGGTCCGAGCTGGTCCAGGTCCTGGATCTGTGCCGCTAATCCGACAGAATATAATCTCATTATCAGCAGGTCTCACGGGGACGGTAACGTCATGTTTTCCGTCGATGCAGCCTCCGGTTTCTGGAGGTTTTCTCGGTTGTTTTCTTTGTTATTCTGGATCTTTCCCGCGGGCCTGAACGCATCCCGGACACGCGCCTCCATTCCGTCATAACGCATCTAATCCCGCATTTAAACCGGCGCAGACAACACATCCCGCACATCGCGCTGGTTTTTCTCTTGCGCTTTTTATGTTTTGCGGGTTTTGGCGCAGACGGTGTGCGGGAATGGCGCAACACGCCAAGCCCATTTTTCACGGGGGTCACCGGAGGAGCGCGAGCCGGGCTGCAGCCGTCAAACACGGTCTCCCGCGGTGATCCACCTCGAGGTGAACCGAACCGGGCCCATGCAGGTTTCGTTTCTCTGCCCTGCACGCCTCGGACACACCTGTCTGGTTTTCATCACCGCCGAGAGGAGACAGGCGGGCGATGATGTTTTTGCGGGTGTCTGCTCTTTGTCTGTTAGCAAAATATCTCATGAACCGCTGGGGGGGGGTTTAATGAAACTCTCAGGAAGTCATCACCTGATGCACCTCTACAGCTGATTACCTTTTGGAGTCCGCCTGATTCAAAATGGCCGCCACAGCTAATCAAAACTACAAAACACGAACATGGCGACAACTCGGTCATTTTCACAGATATCGAGCTGAAATTTGGTGTGATTGTAGCCGAGAGTCATCTCTAACACAAAGTCAGAGCGCGCACATATTATTTAAAAATTTCATTTAAAATGCCGCCATTAATTAATTGTTGGAAATATTTATGTTTGTCTGTTAGCAAAATATCTCATGAAGCGCTGGACGGATTTCAATGAAAATGTCAGGAAGTTTTCTTAGGGCGCACACTTACAGCTGATTTCCTTTTGGCGTCAACACACTTCAAGATGGCCGTCACAGCCAACTGACCTTAAAACAACACAACAGCCTGAGTGAGTCTTAAAGACATTGAGCTAAAGGTTGGTGTGGTAGTAGCTGACAGTCATCCTCATCACAGAGTCAGAGCACTAAATGATTAAGCTCACACAAGAGTTTAAAAGGCAGCGGGCGATATGCATTCATTCAAGTATTGTGGACTCTCCAGCCGGGCTCAGAAAAGTCCAAAGAGAGACCCCCTTGCTGCGATCCGGTTAATGTTCTGATCGACCCAGACGAGGTTCTGCAGAACTTTTAGCGGGTGGTTTCTGCGGAGGCGCGCAGGAATGCTGGGATCCCACAGGGAGGGTGACAGGGACTCCTCCCTGCTGCAGGCACGAGAAACATGGAGCCGAACCTGCAGAAAACAGCCGAACTGGACTTTAAAGGGAAAGTTCAGCTCTTATAAAGTGGCTGTGAAGATTTTAAAGGGCTCTCAGACTACCTGCACATATTGGCCTTATGATGTTTTTTCTCTATTCTACTAAAAGTTGTTGTTTATGACACGTGAACATTCTTAATCACTTAAAACTTAAAACATGCTTATCACATTTTTCGCGTGAGAATGTCACCATTGTTTTAGACGCAAGGCATTCTGGGACGATGATGTGGAGACTAAAACAAAACGATTCGAGGCTAAAATGTTACAACGTGACAATAAAGTTATATTTTGTAGGATGTTAGTCCTTATGCACAATATATTCAATTCAAATTCAATTCAAAAATACTTTATTAATCCCAGAGGGAAATGAGTCAATGAGTCATATGAGTCAAAACAATCAAATGGGATCAACTTGTGCTGTTTAATTTATTAGCTCTGGAGCTAACTAGCGCTATTAGCTTTTAGTTAATGCCATAAAAAATTGCTCTGGAGCAAACACCATTAGCTCTGGAACTAACATTATTCAATTCAATTCAATTAAAAAATAATTTATTAATCCAAAAGGGAAATTAAATGTTGTAACTCATCATCCTGGTTTCATAAAAACAAACAAACAAAAAAAAAACATTCATTATTGGTTCTGGAGCTAACTAGCGTTTTTAGCCCTGTAGTTAATGGCATAAAAAATAGCTCTGGAGCTAACACTTAGCTCTGGAGCTAACACTTAGCTCTGGAGCTAACAATATTAGCGCTGGAGCTAACACTTAGTTCTGGAGCTAAAACTATTAGCTCTGTCTCTAATAATATTAGCCCTGGAGCTAACACTATAAGCTCTGACTCTATAGCTCTGGAGCTAACACTATAGCCCTGGAGCTAACACTTAGTTCTGGAGCTAAAACTATTAGCTCTGTCTCTAATAATATTAGCTCTGGAGCTAACACTATTAGCTCTGGAGCTAACACTATAGCCCTGGAGCTAACACTATTAGCTCTGGAGCTAACGCTATTAGCTCTGGAGCTAACACTATAGCCCTGGAGCTAACACTATTAGCTCTGGAGCTAACACTATAGCCCTGGAGCTAACACTATTAGCTCTGGAGCTAACACTATAGCCCTGGAGCTAACACTTAGTTCTGGAGCTAAAACTATTAGCTCTGTCTCTAATAATATTAGCTCTGGAGCTAACGCTATTAGCTCTGGAGCTAACGCTATTA